ACAATTCAAAATAATACATGTTTACTTCAATACAGTGTAGAATCATATCTTTTTACTTCACCTCACACAGGCAGAGTGTGTGCCACGGGAGGGGGAACGGGGGCACCGGAGCTCACCCCTATGGATGAAAGGCTGGCCGGTATAATCGGCGAATCCCTGCTGAGTGGAGTGGTGACGGAGGCAGATGGGGACACCGATGTTAAGTGTCCACCGGATGAACCAGGTAACCACATTTATATACCCGTGTTTGAAATTAGAGTAAACCAAATGCATTCAAGTTGTGTGATATCTGCTGGTAGCCGATGTAAAGAAAACAATAAGTCCATGTAGAAAAACAAATCATAACTTTATTTAGAAAAACAAATCATAACTTTATTAACAAAATCATTTGTTATAGATGCTGGTTCCAGCGGGGTAGGGGGACAGTGTACCGAGGAACCTCGTGTCTCGAGCCCCGGCGTCTCCACGGCACCTCCGGCGCCGAGCCCTGGCGTCTCCACGGCACCTCCTGCGCCGAGCCCCGGCGTCTCCACGGCACCTCCGGCGCCGAGCCCCGGCGTCTCCACGGCACCTCCTGCGCAGCCCTCCAGCAGCGGCCGTGTCCTCACGGATGCAGTCCTGCAGATGCAGAGGGACGCAATTGCTGCAATACACGAGGTTGCAAGACAGCTGGGACAAATTCATCATGTGCTGGCTGAAATAAGCACTTCTTTAAAAGATTTGGCCAATAAATAAGTTGTTTCCATACCTTGTTTTGTCTGTTTTACAAGTGACGCATCACATCCAGACGCTGTTGCAGTCCACCAGGGTTTCTCGCCCATGCCTGGGGAAGGGGGTCGGGCTCGTCTTGGGCACAAGCAGCCTCAGGGGGTAATGGGACATTGTTCAGCAGTGCCAAATTGTGAAGCACAGCACACGCCCTCACAATTTGGCACACCTTGTCAGGCTTGTAACACAGTTTGCCTCCTGTGGCATCGAGGCAGCGCCATCTGCCCTTTAGCAGCCCTATGGTGCGCTCTACCACAGCTCGTGCCTGGCTGTGGAGAGTATTATATTGTCTCTCCTCTGCGCTCTGCGGATTGTGGAATGGGGTGAGCAGCCACCGCTTGAGGGAGAAGGGTCTAGCTGCGGCCGCGGCCAGTACACGACACTACACGACACGCCCCCTACACGACACGCCCACCCAGGGTTCCTGCAGGTTTCGCCAACTCAAATTTAAGACTTTTTAAGACCTTTTTAAGACCACTTTGAATAGAATTTAAGACCTATTTCACGGCAAGAAAGTATGAAGGAAAATTGCTATGAAAGAAGAAATACGTCCCATAAATGTATTCATGTTCAACATAAGAACAATGACTGAACATAACAGCATAACCGTACAGAACTGTGTTAGCGTGTTAGACAAAAAGTGTGTATGTGTGTGTGTCTCTGTGTGTGTGTGTGTGTGTGTGTGTGTGTGTGTGTGGGCTGTGCAATTAATCATATTTTAATCGCAATTACGAAACAACATAATCGATTATTTTGCTTTGCTAGGTTGTGACAGTGCACTACAACATATTTGTTGATCTTGTTTATTGGTATTTATTATTTTTGATATTATTTATTTAAATGTATCATTTATTTAATTTATTTTTTCAGTTGAATTATACGTTCAGGGTAATCAACAGTTAAAAAGATACTGTCCAAATTATTATTTGTTTTAAAGTTCAATAAATGGATGTTTTCAAAGTCAATTAATAATTGTATTTAATAATTGTGATATCAATTATTGACCAAAATAATCGTGATTATGATGTTTGCCATAATCGAGCAGCCCTAGTGTGTGTGTGTGTGTGTGTGTGTGTGTGTGTGTGTGTGTGTGTGGTGTGTGTGTGTGTGTGTGTGTGTGTGTGTGTGTGTGTGTGTGTGTGTGTGTGTGTGTGTGTGTGTGTGTGTGTGTGTGTGTGTGTGTGTGTGTGTGTGTGTGTGTGTGTGTGTGTGTGTGAGAGAGAGAGAGAGACAAGAGCTATATTCAGAGCTTTGCTGCCTTGGCTACAATCTTTCATCGTTGCTGTTGTATGATTGGTGTTTAACTACGGCATTTAGCGTCTACAGCACCTCCGCTTTTAGGGTTGACGTAGACCCAAACGTTGCCCGGAGGTCCCAATGTGTTGTTGCGGGAGCTGCTGCACTAGCTAACGCTGCACTAGCTAACGCTACATTAGCCAAACAAACGCTAATTTATTTTGCAAAAGGTGCAGCGGGCTTTAAACACGTTCCCCTCCCCTGGTTTCAACCAAGCACTAAATTCGATGTTTTCCAACCAATAACGGTTGAACTTACACTTCCCCATATTTATTCGAAGATACATGAGTTTCTGTCTGCCGCTAGCTGAAGCTTGGTTGCTAGGTTACTAGCTGGGTGTTCTCCAATAAGGGGCCGGCGGAAACAAAGTTAGTGATTACTGGTTCCATGTTGATTTATTTCAATACAAATTGTTGGGGGGAACTGAAAGGCTATTACCATACTGGTTACTTTGCAGCCCGGACATTTCCCCCAAAACACATTTAGACGCTATCGCAACACAGAAGTACCTTTCAAATCCGATCATTTTTAAGACCTTCTAAATCATATTTAAGACCTTTCTTATTTTTTTGGCCATATTTAAGACCTTTTTAAGGCCTTAAATTCATATTATCAAATTTAAGACTTTTTAAGACTTTTTAAGACCCCGCGGGAACCCTGCGCCCACCTGACACGACACTACGGTGGCTGAGAGACATTACCGTACATGGCAGATTAAAAGCGAATTGACGACACTGACGCTGACGCAAGGATATTTAAGGAGACATGAGGTTTACAGAGAACAGACAAACAATATGGCGCACCGAGTACAGGTAATTAACGTATTGTGGTTTTAGATATAATTACATACTATTTAGGTTCTCGTTTGTTTGTCGATGTGGCTGTTTAGCGCAGTGTAATTGTGTTTATTTTGCTAATTTGTATTTTAAATATTAAATGTAAAGGAATGGAATACATATATATCTTAGCTCTTAGCTTGACATGCTCGACGTTCAGTTAGCATATATGCTAACTGAACATGCTCGTTCAGTTAGCATGTCAAACTAAGAGCTAAGATATATGTATATATTTTAGCTTGACAGATGGAACAATGCATGTCCTCGCATTTTTACAAGAATCTGATTTTGTGTAAGTTTTAAATATTCATTGAAGGTGTCTTTCACATTTGAATGTTTTAAAAAAAAAAACATGTATTAGCTGCTATACTGACATGCACATATGTATAATTATATTAAGTGTGGTTTAAAGTTAAATGATATATAGTTATTGGGTAGAGCCAAGTAACCCAGGTGGATGCAATCAGGCCTGTTTTTAGATGGGGTTTGTGGCCATGCTGTAGGCCTGACATTTAAACCATAGACTGTATATATAAAGATTTAAACTAGCTGAAGGGCTTTCTGTTCGAACCACAGTGACATCTAGAGGTTGTTTTGTGCATAACATGTCAACCAAAAGGGTAGAGCTGGCTGAATCAGATGGAGTTAAACTTTTTTTTTTTTCAACAAGATATCAAGACACAAAATGTGCTCTACCAATTTAAATAGGCTTTAACCTCCTGCAGGTCAATCCTGGCTGCTTACATTTTTATTTAAAATCATGTTGATTTTACTGTTGGGATCAATTTAAAAGGTTATTTTTTTTTTTTTAATCAGACCAGCTTGAATAGTGCCCCTCTGATTTTCCACATGATGTTCTGTTCAATAAATGTGCATTGAGGAAAACGGTATCAGTGTCTTATTGTATATTCATCACAGTGAATGCTGAACTTGCCGGACCATATACTGTAGTTGAAAGTACACAATGAAACACTGGCTTGCTTGTATCAAATCAATACAATTCCCACATGCCCTACCCCGGAACCTGCGGTCTTCAGACTCTGGCCCCCCGCACCAACCTGCGATCCTTCGGGGACAGAGCCTTCAGTATGGCAGCCCCCACTCTCTGGAACGCTCTCCCTGCGGAGATCTGCAACATCCCCACGCTTGACGCCTTCAAAAGGGCCCTCAAGTCTGCCAAGGTCTTTGGCCCCAAATCTATTTGTTTTGTCTGTCTAACTGTTCGTCTGACTGCCTTTTGTTATGTTTGTTTCTACTCCTGTTATTTTTAAAGCGACCTTGGGTCTCATGAAAGGCGCTATATAAATCCAAGTTATTATTAATACATCATTGGAACGGTAAGAATCTCAGCTACAACACTGACTAAAGCCTTCCCATCTCCAGTATGCCTACATGACAAGCATTTTTATAATATACAGTAAACATATCTTTGACTTATTGCAAAATTATAAAATGAAATTCACCCCTGCTGTCATTCTGGCTTTGACTGTTCAAATGAGATGTCAACCATCAAAATGGGATAAGGGGTTCCAGAAATATCACTGTGCAAAACTGGGGTTACGTATTGTAACCCAGCTTCTATGAGTATAGGCGCAGCCCTCTAAGGCTATCGCTATTGGGTAATCCCACTGCGCATGCGCAGCACTGACAGACTTAATCCACGCCCACCTATGACGTGGGCCCCACCTACGGTCTCACTTCCGTATAAATAGGAAGTATGCCCGTCAATCTGCTCCCACACAAACAGCTTTTCTTCAGCTATTCGCGGAGCCAGTGGGGCCCGAACCTTAGAGGGCTGCGCCTATACTCATAGAAGCTGGGTTACAATACGTAACCCCAGTTCTATTTCGTATAAGGCTTCGCCCTCTAAGGCTATCGCTATTGGGTTAAGGGCGAAGCGATGTAGTCCACGCCCCACTGGTCCGTCCGTTACCAGAAGTACAAAAACACATCTACTCAATTAATAACCCATGCGTAAAGGAGCATCACAGTCCCTGGAAATATAGCATTTAAAAAGTAGAGATACAAAAATCCCACTTGTTAAAACGATAAAAGAGGGGAAAAAGGGGCAGCTCTCTCAGTGCCGACAGGTAGGAGAGAGGGCACACCGTTCAGTCTCTGACATTACTCAATCTGACAGGACACTGAGTACTGAATGAGTAAGAGAGGAATGGGAGACATCCCTCAAATAAAAACGAATAAAAGAACAGGGGGAAGACCAAGATGCCGCACTGCAAATGTCTTCCACTGTCATTCCTCCGTGCAAAGCCGTAGAGGTTGAAATTCCTCTGATGCTGTGCGCTTTGATGTTTTCCGGGGGATCCTCCCCAGAGGAGACATACGCCTGTGACACAGCCTCACACAACCAGTGTGACAGGCGCTGTGCAGACAGAGGCTGCCCTATTGAGTGCTCTCTGTGATGCACAAACAGGCGCTGGGACCTACGCAATGTGGCTGTGCGTGCAATATAGCATGACAGCGCACGTACGGGACAGAGGAGATGAGATGTGGCTTCTTCCTCCGATGAGTGAGGAGGAGGGAAGAAACCATCCAAAGTTATCACTCTCAATCTAAAAGAGCTTGTGATAACCTTTGGCATAAAAGCCGGGTTAGGGCGCAAAACAGCTGAGCTGCCATCTCCTTGGATCTGGAGGCATGACGGAGCCACAGAGAGAGCAGACAAATCACTCGCCCTTTTAGCTGATGTTAGGGCCAAGAGCAGAGCTACTTTGGCTGACAAGAACTTCAGGGGGACCTGATTTAAAGGTTCGAATGGAGCTTTACTCAGTGCGCGTAACACCAACGCCAAATCCCATTGAGGCGCCAAAGCGCGTGACACCAGTCTGAGTCTCTGTACTCCCCGTAGAAAGCGTGTTGTCAGAGGGTGACTAAACACCGTACTGACACCAAACCCTACGTGGCAAGATGAGATGGCAGCAGCGTACGTTTTGACCGTGCTATAAGCCAAATTCCTGTCTAGTAAGGTCTGGAGGAACGACAGCACGTGAGGCAGGGGGCACGTAACGGGGTCCAGGCTTTTCCCTACACACCAGCGCTGGAACGCTGCCCATTTGGCTGTGTAGGATGCTCTGGTGGACGCCGCCCTTGAACCCTGAATGGTACTGATAACATTTTTAGAGAGGCCCATCCCCTCTAAATGTTCCCGTTCAGGGGCCATGCCCACAAACGGTGGCCCAATACTGGGTGACCGCTGATCGCTCCCTCCACCTGGGAGAGAGCGTCCCTGCGCCACGGAATTTCCCACGGCCTCCCTGACAGCATCCGCTGTAGGCATGGAAACCAGGACGCTTCCGTGCGTTCCGGTGCTATTAAAATCGCTGTCAGTCTCTCCTCCTGCACTCGGTCCAGGAACCGAGGGATCAGAGGGACTGGTGGGAAAGCGTATAACAACACCTTTGGCCACGGCCTGTGTGCGAACGCGTCCACGCCCAGGGGGGGGGTGGTCCTGCGTTCTCAGGGAGAACCAGAGGGCACACTGCGCGTTCTCGCGTGCAGCGAACAGATCCACCTCCGCTCTCCCGAACCTGCTCCATACCTGGGAGACCAATTCGGGGTGGAGGCTCCAGTCCCCTTGGCGAGGACCTCCTCTGGACATGAGGTCCGCCCCTCTGTTCAACACGCCGGGAATATACACCGCTCTGATAGAGAGTACGTGTGTTTGCGCCCAGCACAGCAGCCGCCTGGCTGTGCTCAGCAGCTGCGCTGATCGTACGCCTCCCTGGCGATTTATGTATGCCACCGCTGCTCTGTTGTCTGTCCGAATCAACACATGTTGATTGAACAGCAACGGGGCGAAGTGGTGGATTACTGGATGTGAGCCGGCCACTGTCCCCCCCACTGCCTGCGACATGAACGTTCCTCCCCAGCCTGCGAGAGATGCGTCTGTGAACACCGCTGTGTGTGACGTCACTCTGCCCAGGGGAACCCCCACTGACAGGACGTGGAGATTTTTCCAATAGGCTAAATCCAAACCCACGGAAGGGGGAATGTACACCATGCGTCTCTTCTGCCGCACGGGGTCGATGTGCAGGCGAATAAACTACCTCTGGAGTCTCCTCATGTGAAGGAGTCCCAGAGGGATCACCACGTGACCAGCTGACATCATGCCCAACAGCTGCATCACGGAGAGGGCTATCACCACCCTGCGAGGTGTGACGCGTTGGAGGAGAGCTGTCACTTTCTCCACTCTCTGCTGTGAGAGTCGCGCTCTCATGAGGGCTGAGTTCAATTCCACTCCCAGATAAACGATAACCTGGGAGGGAAGAGGACAGCTCTTCTTCCAGTTGACAATGAAACCCAGGCTTGACAGATGAGATACGAGCTGTACCGTCTGTAAAGCAGCCTCCTCCTTGGATCGAGCCAGCAACAGCAGGTCGTCCAGATAAAATAACACCCTCATCCCTCCTCTGTGAAGCGGCTCCAGAGCCGTCTCCACACACTTTGAAAAAGTGCGAGGAGCCAGGGAGTATCCGAACGGCAGTCGATTGAACTGGTACGAAATTCCCTGGAAAGAAAAACGCAGGAATTTCCTGTGTTCCGGGATTATGGTTATGTGGAAGTAGGCATCCTTCAGGTCTATTGACGTAAACCAGTCCCCCTGGTGAACGTATTCCAGCACCTGTTTGATTGTCAGCATATGAAAAGGTCTTTTCATTATCACCCTGTTGAATGCTGACAGATCGAGGATGGGTCTCATTCCCCCGGTCTTTTTTGGGATAAGAAAATAACGGGAGGAAAACCCCCGATTTTCTTCCCCTTGAGGAACTCTGGAAATCGCACTTTTTACCAGGAGTTCCTGCAGCTCCTCCTGGAGCGCAAGACACTGTTCTTGGGATGACAGGAGTGTTTCCTGAATCCCATTGAACTGCGGGGGGGAGGCGAATTGCAGAGAGTACCTTCTGCTGATCAGCCTGCTCATCCATCTGTCCATCAAACATATCCGCCGCCACTCTGAGCAATGCTCCGAGAGCGGGCAAACCTGTTCTTGTTGTGCTGTGGTAGTCATGGTGACGAGCCATGCCAGAGCCCTTGCCGCTGTTGCTCGTGAAGCAACCCAAGGGGGGCCCCGCCCGAAAGGGCTGCGACGGGGTCTCCACACACTGCATCTCACCCCGGCCTGAGGAATGAGCGGAGGTGTGTGCAGTGCTATTCACACAGCGCGTAATAACAGCCCTAGGCTCATTACGACCGTGTGAAGCAGGCACACCTGGGACAGAGGAAAAACCGTGCTGCCTGCTAACCGACAGGCCAGAGGCAACAGGTTTACACATCAAGCCCCGCTGTCTAATAACCGCCTGGTTATATACAGCTGGCTTGTGCAGCGAGCCCCGCCGCCTGCTAACCGACAGGTCAGAGGCAGCCTGCTCAAACGGCGAGCCCAGCTGTCTGTTAACAGACAGGTTACAAACAGCTGGTTTATGCAGCGAATCTTGCTGTCTGTTAACCGACAGATTAACAACAGTCGGCCTGACTAGTGTGGCCGACATTTTTATTGAAAATGTACTCCCGCACATCCCCCCCAAAAAGTCACTTTCGGCTCTGCTTCCTCGGAGGCTCTCTCGGAGGCTCCCTCGGAGGAGCAGACCAGGAGCGGGGGTTCTTCGTTCCCCTCCGACTCGTCGCCTGGAGACTCTGTCTCTGTGGCGGAGGAGCGGAGACATGGGACGGTGCCCCCGCAGCCGCCGAAGGGCGATTCTGGCGCCGCTGCTGATCTCGCCGTTGCCCGCGCTGCCCCTGCTGAGACTGTTACAGTCGCTGCTGTTGCTGCTGTTGCTGGGGACGTCTGTCCGGCTGAAGCCATCCGACGTGACGCCGTATGTCGTCTGCCTGCTCCGATGCAGACTTCATTGACTCCACCATGGTGTGGAACTGAGGTCCGAACAGTCTGTCCGGACTGACTGGAGCCTCTATCAGCTCCTTCCCTGCACCCTCCGGTATAGATCCCTGCTGTAGCCAGAGGTACCGGTGGACCTGAGTCGCCCACGTCGCAATCCGCGCCTGCGAAACTGCGACTGCGGTGCTCAGGGTAAGTGCAGTGCTGGCCGCCTTACCGATCTCCTCAGCCTCCACTGAGGACATGGTGTCGGACTGCTCAGCTATACACACCATGGAATTCACCAGCAACGCAATATTGTTGGCCGCCGCTGACGCCTGGTAAGCACACTGGTGCATCCGGTCGGTCTGTCGGGCGACAAACTGATCTCTGGAGGCAGTCAGCATGGGTTGCCGTCCGGCAACCGTGCTGGCCTGTTTAACTCCAAAGAACGTTGTGAGGCTCGGCTCCAGAGGCGGCACGGTCGGAAAACCCCTATTCGTAAATCCCTCCACCCTCGTGAGGGGAGCGTACGTGGATACCGGAGCCCTCAGTGTCCTGGGGTTCGCCGCCGCCCCCTCCTGGTACTTCCTAATGGGCGAGAAGCGTGGCCAGATCGGGTCACTCCTGACCCTCTGTGCCTGGGAGAACACCCCGGACATGTCATCCGAAAACGTGCTCTCCTGAGCTGGGGGAACGCGGAGATCTCGCCAGGCGGCTGCCTTAGAAATGATCTCCGGGAGTTCCTGGAGAATTCCGCCAATCGACGGCAGAGCCGTGACGGCGGAGAGAGAGACCACTGGTCCGTCTGCCGGACCTACACCGGAACCCCGCTCTGTCTCCTCCATCCGGAGGAGAGAGAGGATGGGGGAACCACCTGGTGATCCATGAATGGAGGGGGCGTAGTCATCCGACTCGTGCCCTCCACTCGGATCCAAGAAGTCCAGGGCCTCGTCCACAGAGTAAACCTCCGGGACTGCCCAATCATCCTCGACCGCAGCAGCAGCGAGAGCGTCCGCTCTCTGCTGTTTGAGGGCCAGAGGGAGCCGGGCACATAATGAGCATGACACCTGTGGGGAAAGAGCAGCTTTCGCATGCTCTAACCCCAAGCAGGACTGACACTGTGAGTGTTTGTCAAAACTCATTATGTAGCCCGCCTCACATGAAAGGCAGTTCCGGACGCAGCCCTGACTTACCTGCCCCATCTCCATCTTTCCACTAGAAACAAAGCTTTTACGTAAGGGAGGAATCTTTGTTTTACTAATGTGCCTGCTACAGTGCTTCTGCTACTACGTGCTGAAGAAAAGTGGGAGCAGATTGACGGGCATACTTCCTATTTATAAGGAAGTGAGACCGTAGGTGGGGCCCACGTCATAGGTGGGCGTGGATTAAGTCTGTCAGTGCTGCGCATGCGCAGTGGGATTACCCAATAGCGATAGCCTTAGAGGGCAAAGCCTTATACGAAATAGAACACACCGGCCAATTTTGACCGATAATAGTATGGGAAGGGGGGTATGACCGAACGCAAGAGAAGAGACAATCATCAAGCCAGATACCAAGGTATTTACAACAGGCAACCACTTCAATTACTTTTCCTTTAAGTTATTGTTATTTGGTTTTTATTAGTGCTTTTGTCGTTTTGAAGGAAATTAAAATACTGTATTGAGTTGGTTTCTTCTGTTTTGGAAGCCTTGTATATCTTTTTGGTCTTGTTAGACATACCCCATGGTAAAACTGTGTTCTAGCAGCAGTTAAAGAAGCTTAGTTTGCTGTCTTAGACTGCCAGATGTATTAAGATGGTTTGTTCACAATTTACACATAAAACCTAAATGTTCATCTGTTTATTGTTCTTCTTCCTTTATATTCAAAGCATGTTGATTGTCTATTGGCTATATCTTGACATTATGTTAATTTGATCATACTTGCCATACATTTATTTTAATTGATGCGATTCCTTCAAAGGTTTTGTAATAGACCCCTAGTACTTTTAATTTATAAAGTAATATTAATACATGTGAATGATTGAGCTCATTAGTGGCCTGACTGGCCCTCCTAATTTGTTCCTTAATGACCCCATGATGTGATTATGTATATCTTAAAACTAGGGCCGTCAGTCGATTAAAATATTTAATCGCGATTAATCGCATGATTGTCCATAGTTAATCGCGATTAATCGCAAATTAATCGCACATTTTTTATCTGTTCTAAATGTACCTTAGAGGGATATCTTTCAAGTTTTTAATACTCTTATCAACATATGAGCGGACAAATATGCTTTATATGTTTGTTTATTATCATTTGAACAATGACAAATATTCTCATGAATATTAAACACAACAACCTCTGAACATTACAAATATTCGCCTCAATTCAACCTGGAACCTCTCTCATACAATAATACTGTGTGTGTGTGTGTGTGTGTGTGTGTGTGTGTGTGTGTGTGTGTGTGTGTGTGTGTGTGTTGTGTGTGTGTGTGTGTGTTGTGTGTGTGTGTGTGTGTGGTGTGTGTGTGTGTGTGTGTGTGTGTGTGTGTGTGGTGTGTGTGTGTGTGTGTGTGTGGTGTGTGTGTGTGTGTGTGTGTGTGTGTGTGTGTGTGG